AGCAACTTCTCTTGCCTAGGCATTCATTGTCACTTTATTTCACCTCAGAATACGAATGTGCTGTCTTGGTGCGAGAACAATGGAGCCAGATGTCATCACCAGACGCCATGTGATGGTGTCATGGTGTCCCCACATGTGAACAACGCCGATAGGGAGAATCTTTCTGACAACCCCAAATCGACAGACAATCTTTAAAAAGAAACAACAGGGTTGGGGGAATGCAGTTATAAATTTAATTTTTGAACTTCCTGCTGAAAACAAGCTTGCTCTAACCTGGGTCCAAACGAGGGTAATCAAACGGGGAATAAGAGCCTCCTTTAGTTGCGTTGCTGTTTTGATAGACGGTTCACGACTTTCGGCCTTTCTATAGACTCTGTACTCAAATAGGCTTTTTTAAAGCATGCGTTTCAGACGATTTTTCGCCTATTCTTTCGAGTTTGAATTTAAGCAACTTTGCTGAACGCAAAAGGAATATTACTTACATTTTAAACGAGTAGTGGGTTGATGTCCGGAAAAATTGATCGAATAACGGATTTTACTTAACTTATGCCCCAAGGGTGAAGAGCATTGACTTAGTTGGGCTGGCGCCATCCCAAGTAATTACATGTAAGTCCTCTGGTGACCCAGCTTCAATACTGCTAACACTGTCCCCTAACCTGTCAGCCGCATTTTCTCCCATCTGCACCATTATCTAAGTGCTGAATTGTCTGAAAAGCCTCTGAAACTGTTAAACGAGACGAAGCGCTCTTCAAAACCGGAGGTGAGATCTTCATCTTGGGACGGTGTTGTTGGGGTTTAGTGTCGTTCAGTAGACAGTTGCCAGGTCAATCCGACCAAATGGGACTGACTACAGCCTATTGACGTGACGACAACAGAAAGCCCATCGATCCTGCGTTCCCTATTCCACGGATTTCACCTTTGAGGAAAGTTAAAAAAATCGTACCAACGTGTTGTAAAAAGTCTTTAAGAACTTGCATTGGAGCCCGTTGAATGGCAGCCA